GCTTAACTGAAGCAAAGTCTTTCATTTTATTAAAAAAAAGATATCTTCTTTTAGAGCACTAAACAAAAAATCAATTTCAAAGACCCACAGTGTAACAGAAAAAGAAAGTCCAGAGAATGTTATTTAAAAGGTACTATGAAAAAATACAATAAAAGGAGTTACGCATGTATGTACTGTAGAAGTACCCTGCAATATAGATTAACTTCTCCACAGAAATAATTCCACTCCCTGACTATCAATTTCTTCAAAGAGGGAATGGAAGGTTGGAAAACTTTTTTCCTTGCTTGGGCAAAAGATCATCATTCAGCCATTATCAAAAGAGTAGTTTATTCCTGGTGGGAACCAGAAACCCCTCTGGGAATCACAAGATATGACAGTCTATCACCAAGTCAGACCAAAAAATCGATAAACATTATTTTCTTCTCCAATGTACATAGATGTCACCGCTTCCTGACTTATTTTTAACGTCTTGTGTCATTTTAAATACGCAAAATACTGTATTACACACAAGCTATTTTAATTTGCATTTCTAATAATACCAATTTGTCATCAAAGACGTAAAATATTTAGCTGGTGGGAACGTGAAACAAGACAAGGATTACCAAAACAAAAAGACAAATACCACACTCTTTACAAACAATGAAATGTAAAAAACATTATCATTAACGAACAATGAAGGCAACACAGAGTTTAGGTTAATGAAATGGACTTTTTAGCTTGAATAAAATGATGTATTAAAATGAAAGGAATAAAGGACTGCGGTGCTATACTGTAGTGCTCCCCCACAACTAGCTGTTTGTTGTTGTTGTTGTTGTTGTTGCCTTTTCACTTCTTGAAAACGTCTTTCCAGTTATATAATAACAAAACCGATTAACACAACACTGAGGTGTAGAAGGTATTCGCAGTGAACATTTTTATGTTTGCCGCCAATGAGAGATCAACTGCTGTGCAGCTTTGCAATACAAAGATAGGTGGTCGTGACCAACTTTCTCTGAGATTCCTCATTGTTTTCCCCAGCGCCACGGGAATTCTTATCATTATAGCTCCAGGGGTATTGAGAGGATATGGTAATTCAAAACAATCACTGCAAATGCCAGCTGAAGAATGAAGTAATAGAATTTATCTGCTTAAGCTGTTTACAAACGATTCCACAGCACATGGTCACCTTTCATTAATTATTTAATGTCTGATTGTCAAACAATTTCCACTCAGAGATATGTCTGCATCACATAATATGCCAATGAATGTAAAAGGCATATTAAAACATCTTTATTGAAAATAAAGTACACCTCTCAGCTAAGCATATTACCCCATGTGAAATCACAACCTTTCTTAACACTGCTTTCCAGTTAGCAGGACATAAAACACGTCAATACTATTTAAACCTTTTCCCCCACATTATTAAGAACTTTGCTTTGGTATTCTCAAGCCCCAAGGAACAAGGGTTTCACACTGTAACAAAACAAGCTAATGAGGTGTATAATGAGTGCCTTTTCTATTCTCACATATCAAATACGTTTCTTTGGATATGTATGTACCCAGCTGCAAGCCACTGTAAAATAATTTTATAAACTTAGTTACATAAACAGATTGAAACAATATTATACTAGGCGTTTTCTTACACACTACTGTAGGATTTTTACATGCATAAAACCGCCACAAAAGAACAGCAGCAGGACTAATACCATTCCCCCCTAGCTTCCCAGACTTGGCAAAAGCATAAAAAAACACCTGACGTATTATTCATCTTCTAAAGCAATTATTTACATCCTCCATGCAACTACTGGTAATGTTTCTTATAAGCATCATGACAGGCAACTATGAAATCATCATTTATTATTTATCTGCAGCTTTCCCTAATATGCTCAGCAGTCATTACAAGTAAATTATGGAATCATAAATAGCGCTTCTAATAATAAACTGGTATTTCAGAGATGGCTCTCTGACAAACTGTTTTTGAAAAAAAGCTAATTTGTAGAGCTGATGTCATCTTCTGAAGCCCAAGAGCCAAGAGCATGCAAATCCATCTCACAGAATTTCACTCCAACATGATATATTCAGCATCACATCATTCAATGTTCTGCAACATAAGTGAACAGAATTACTTAAAACACCGAGATTCTAATTTCAGTCTAGTTTAGTTACATACTGTATGACATCTGACTGATATGCTTCTATTGCCCTTAATAGAAGGTAAGGTGAAAGCACTCTACATTTGATGTCAATGTCACTAAAGCACACAAAGAGCGCAGGAACACTAGTGATCGTGGTTACGATATTCAAGATTTATCCAAAATTTATAATTTACAGAAACTATTATTCCCTAATATGCAACAGTGTATTATTTAGGTTCTCTTTCATACATTTTTAGTTATCTTGAAGGGTCCTGAACAGAACTGTTTCAACTTTCCAGCAGAGAATTTTAACACAACCACAGTATGGTCTTCCCCAACTAGTCCATTGACATTTTTCACATCTGCTCTGCAGGGTCAGTGAATATTGGGGAAATTAGTTCTACATATCTATCAGTTCTTGCCTTTTTCTTCTGAGGCTTTTTTCAAAGACAAAGCAGATTCACAATGCAATGAGGTCTCATGTGAGACCAGACAACTAATTTAACTACTTAAGTAAGATTCAGATTCAAAACCCTTAAAAACAAATTAAACTACTTTGCCACATAGACCCTTAAGTAATAGCATTTCTCTATCTCCTATTCCATTCCTACATGACAACAGGCACCAAAAATAACATAAAATCTCAAGATTTACCCAGCAGAATCCTTTAATGATCGTACTGTTTTTCCTTAGCCAACACACAAATCATTTACTTTTTCCCTTAAATTGGCAGGAAAAATGCTATAACAACTAATTATAAGAACAGAATATAAACAGAAAATGAATTAAAAACATTTTAAATTCTATAAGCTCTTCACATTATTTTTAATTTCCAACACAAACCAAAGAAACAACTGGATGCAACAATACTTAAGTGAAGCAACACAATCACATATTTTACCGCAAAGCATGGATAACCATTTCCATATCAGAGCTCCCTTTGAACTTACCTTTTTATCATAACATGCATAGGTTGTTTACAGACCCCTGAGACACTCAAATGTTTCATTAACATGCTATGAAAAGTGAATGTTGTCCTTCATGGTTACACTGATTTTTTTTGTCTCGGATATCACACAAGGCATTGACTTGCAGCACTGAAAAATGGCTAAATGAATCCACTTACAGTAAACTTCAAGTAAGCTTTGTAGATATAGCATATGCTTTTTTTTTCTTTTTTACAGCTAATTGTGTTTTACCATTTTCAATGGTACAAGAACTAAGTGCCAAAAGGGTAGTTTATTTTTTTATTTTTATATTCTTTCCACTGATCTCCAGTCTTGCCATATTTAAACTCAAACCGTTTTTCAAGTGACTGGATGTATGCACTTTCCAAACCACCAACATAAAGCCTTGGTGAAGAGCAAATCTCTAGTCTTCTCCCTCTGTGAGAATTAAAATGTTTGAGGTTGAGAAACTATGACTTTAAAGTTGGAAAAGCGATAGTATCTCTACCATAGAACAAGTCAATGCAGGCCATCTGACGATGAGTCACAATGAAAAAGCAAAGCAGTACTTGAGCAAAGACACTTTGCATGGTCCAAGTGCTGGTCATCCATGAGACAGTACAGGCAAAAATTAACACAAAATCTAAAAAAAGAGGCAAGGGGGTCTCTACTGTTTGCTGCAAAGTAGTTGTTTAGCTTCTCCAGTTCGAAAACAGCTTCACTGAGGTTGCAGGCTGCTCAGTTGCCACCGATGTCAAAGTAGCTCCAATTAGTCATGAAAACAGAAAGGTTGTAGCATGCAAATTCTTTCACTCACTTGATAAATTATTTGTCATCTGTTACAATCAAGTTCTTGATGTCTTCTCAGTTTATATTTAGTACAGTATGTGGCTGTGTTGCCGTCATTACATGATAAATACACTTATACAACCCACAGGCTTCAGATTTAACTAAATTAACCAACCACCTCATGACATTCTATTACAGCAGTGTAATAAAATAAGTGAAACATTTGTGAGAAAAAAAGCTTCTGGAAGTTATTGCATTTAAATATGAGCATTAATAATGTCACAGACAGTCAAGTCACCCTGCATTCAAATGTGCAACCCAGCACTTCTAATACTCAATTAAAAAGAAGCAACACAATTGCAATGAACTGGTGTAGATTCCTATATTCTGCACAATCTGAAATCGGCAAGATCAAAAAATGTCTCCATCATGGTACATGCTGGCTCCATGCAGGCCAACAGATATTTTTCAAAACCACACAACTAAACACAAACAAGCATTTTGTATTCTTTTTACAAACACAACTGGAAACGTGACAGATTGCGGCAGAAAGTGATTATTTTGTGATTTTTCTCAGTAAAAATAATACCTACTCAGTTTGCTTATAAAACATTGATAGGCAAAGAAAGTTATACAGATTTCAAGAGCACAGCATTCAGAGTGCCGCACAAAGTGCCATTCTTTCAGAAGAAATACAGAGATCACAATCTGCCACAGCACACTGCCCTACAAATGCACAGTTCACAGTTCAGCACTTTGTAGCTTTCATCCATAGCAATTTTCTTTTTTCCAAGTCAAAGTCTAGATGTTCCCATATTCATAACAATTCGTTTCTTAATTACATATAAGTGCTCGTGATCTAGGCCAGCTTTTGCCTTAGATAAATTCAGGAAATCACTGAAGCAATCTACTTTTCAAGGAATAAAATGGCAATAGAAGCCTGTGAAAAGCCACTTCTCTTTGATTCATATTATGACCTACAGCTCTTGCCTGTGGAATAATACATTAAAATTAAGTCAATTTCACACAGCCAAGAGGTTCAAGGCACAGTAAATCCAAAGAGAATTCATGAATTTATGCTCTGATGTCAACATGCTTAAAATTGAACAAAAAGCAGCTGGTAAATGAAAAGATAACCGTTTGCACTCACCTGCAATTAGGAGGTGGATCTAATGTAATTTCAGCTAGTTCTTTCTGAATCCTAAAGACAAGACAAAAATGGTATTTGTTCAACAGTGAAAATCAACCTTCAAGATTAAAGATAAACCTTTACTTGTTTCTTTAAAAAATACATTCCACTTAATTTAGAATTTAACTAGATCGTACAACATATCTCCTGCCTTGCTCAGCTTGTAGTTTGTCATTTTGCGGAAATAAACATTACGTGAGCGTCCTCATGCTTTATCTGACAACACAAACTAGTCCGTTTATCACAGGTCAAACACAATAGGCTTCTTCTCCCGAATTAACAAAGGTCAAACTTCAGAACCACTATCTTTTACATTACATAATTCAAGGCTGGAGGGTGAGGCAGTTCTCATTCTCAGGAAACAAAACTTGAACAACTATCTGAAGGCAAGTGTATTATCTTGCTTCGTCACCAAAAGGTCTGTAGGGCTGCGCGCAGCAGAATAATACCCATTCATATTTGCGTTTGTGAGAATAAAGTCCAATGGTATTACTAAAGAACAGGGGTTTGAGGGTTTCAGTAAAAAATGACACTTTATGTGTACACTTCATGACCATTTCTTTGCAGGCCCACTGTGTACTCTAAACGTTTCATGACGGCTCAGTATGGCGAGGGGAAGTGGTACAGGTGCCGTGTCATTTTAACTGTGGCCCCCCGTACGTTTTGGAAAATTCGGTGCGAGTGGAAGAAAAAAAACCAACAACTGCGGTTCCAAATGTGAGATGTGCAACTCTGCATCAGATATAAAAACAACGCAGTTGTCTTTACAAATTAAGGGGAGTCCCATCTAGTCTTGTCTCCCTTGTCGACCTGCTGTGAATTTGTTTTCAATTCAGTCCAAAGTAACGCCTCCAGCACAAGCAAGGGAGTTTGTCACCAAGCAATGCAAGTGTAAGAGGAGTGCATGGGCTGTTCAGCTTCAATGAGAGGTCGGGGGCATATATTCAATAAATTTCTTGTTTTAAAGCTTTTTAAATACGTGCTACCCTACTAAGTTAATGAATTGATTTTTATTTGATATTCATAAACATTTCTAAGTCCACGAACTGAGAAGTACATTTAGTTTAAATTGTTGTCTTGCAAGGCCCTAGCCTAGAGCAATTTGATCTGTGCTGAGAGACTACAGAAATCACTTCTTGAGAATACTGGTATTCTGATATCTTAAGATATTCTGATATAATATCTCACTTCTTAAGAATATTGATATTCTTATTTACTTGAGAAAATGATTAGTACTAACTCTTTATTTTTTGAGGAGAGAATTAGAATATGTATTGAAACCATGTATTTACTTGAGGCCAGATAGGCAAAGAACCATTTAAAGATAGAGCAGGGTACAACTGTTGCATGAAACAAATTAAAATGATGCTGTTTTAAGACGGGTCATATGGTAAGATGGACAAATAAAGTTAAAACAATCTACATGTTCAAAACTAATGTATGGAGTAAAATTACTTATTTTTGCACACCAATGATGTCAGAGACCTAACTCCAATATTGAGTGCTCTGACTAGCTACAGACCACTTTTGACACCTGTTTGTTACCAATGCGTTAACATAAGGAGGAGAATTAAGACCACCTCTAAAATTAATGCGCACAGTGTGGTACAATGTAATAAAAGGACCAGTCATCCCTGACTCAGCTGGCCTACAGGAATTCAACTGACACCCTTCACAAAATACTCATCTAGAGCACGTGGAAAAACTACAACATGCTCAAAATAGATATGTATATGTGAGTAATACAACAGATTTTGGAATATGATTACATAACTGTGAATGCTTGTTTGAAATAGAGGAAAGTTACAATGTCAAAATACTGAAAATAAAAATGTAAATATACATATAAAAATTATAGTATTTTTATCCTGAACCATTGGTTGCTGAGCTTTTACTCACATTACTTCTGAATGGCTGAGACACTCCTGTTGTCTCAGTGGTAATGGCAATCATTCGAAAATGCCATTCAATTTTTTTCCTTACATTTTAAATTATAATTCTTAGTCTTATTGTATTGTCTCTGCAAATCTGTACCAATGCTTTAAACATACTGCATATGCCGTACAAATGTCAATCTAAAAATATAAAGTTAAACCTATCCCCGAACGTATTCTTCAGCACAGTTGACAAGACATAGCTGCCAGCTGAAAAGCATGTTAATGATTACGGTGGTAATTGTTACCAGATATACCCAATATACTGAACCACTGGACAGACTGAGTTGCCTATAATTCTCTTTAGATTTAATACATATATATATTCTGTAGACACTTGATAACAAAAAATATGCTTAACAAAATATGTGAATAACTGAATTCATAGCTAAATCCACAAATATAACCAATTGTCTATTTCAGGTACTGTAACTGAAAATCAGTACGAATTAAAGACATCTTAACTACCCAATTAGAAACACACTATTTCTGTGTTACTTAATTCCCGTACGCTTAAATGTTGGGAAGGAGAAAAATTCTGACTGGAATCACATACTAAAAAGTCAAGTTAATAGCTTAACTGTAATGTGAGGCTAGAACCACTGCACTAATTTTAAGATTTGAAACTATCGAGCTATGAGGCGTCTAACAAGGAACATAAGAGTACTTCATATAAAAAGGTCACAGATACAGTGGGAACTGTAATAAAAATTGTAAATTCAGATCGCTTTCATGTTTCTGTTTACAGTGCTACTGATATTTCTTTGCACTTAATCTCTTCCTAGTGGGTATCTGCATCAGCATGCGTAGGCTGCAGAGGAACAAGTAAAGGTTTATTCCAAGCTGGAAAAAAAAGACACAAAGTCTGTGGCTATGGAGCCTTCTTCGGGTGTGGACACCTCATCTCTTTTCTTCTCAGCACGGAATAAACCTTTACTTGTTCCATAATCTCTTCTGTGTCAGGAGCAGGCCACACTGAACTGGGAAACGTTACCTTTTTGCACTTGTCGAAAGCTTCGCCGCAGTTTTGCTGGAGATTTTTGTCTCCTTCTTCTTGGGCTGTGTTTGTTCTCTTTCCTGCTCCTGATGAACACTTTCCCGCTGGTCTATATCCGAGCTTCCCCCGCTTGTACTGGGACTGTCATCGGGTCTTTGTACCTCACTGGACATCTTGGTCCTTCCAATCACAAAGCATAACCCAGACTTTGATTACCACTGCTCTTGACCAGATGTGCTTTCTGCCCATCTCACACTGTACCTGCTCCATGCAGCTATTGGAAACCTGCTTATAATGTCAGGTTTGAGCTAAACTTTCCTGCACCCAGGATATCCTTGATAGCAGCATGCATGGATATTTTTACATGTTGATAGCATCATGTAAGCTGCTGTTCCCAGAGTCTGTCACACTGAGATGCTTATCATTCTCTCTATAGTTAACATACTGTATATTTGTATGTACTGCAGACACCTGATAGCAAAATAATCACTTTACTGAATTTAACAAATAAGTAAGCTATGGAACACTAAAAATATGGGCAAAAATGCTTGCTTTTGTTATAACTTTAGTTCATATTTCAACAATAATCACCTCTCAGAAAGATTGACATTTCCTTTTGTAAAAGGTCAAAATAGTTATGTGTACGTTTAAACAAATCTATCACTTTAAAAAAAAATCCTAACTATTGGATTTGATCTAATTAAAAAAACATCCACTCTCAAATCAGTACACTTTTCAATGTCAAAGTCATTTACAGCATATAAATTAATGACGATGAACAGATGTTGATTTAAAATTATTGCTCGCACCCATTACGGTAATCTCTAAATTAACAAAATTATTAGCCTTAGTTTTGTCTGGCAGGTAAGTGCCTTTAGAACTACTGGGAGCAAAGCAAGCTTAACAACGACAAACGCACAAACTTGAGATTGTTATGCTACAGAGTTAATGTAGCTGTACATCTACTCTGTTAGTGCATAGTTAGTGATAGCAAATGCATATTCCTTAAAAACAGATATACCTGGGGATTTGAGGTTTTGATAGATTTCTTAGCATTCACACAAGACACTGTATAAAAAATGATTCTGAAAACAACAGCACGACCCCTGTACTCGGATAAGAGATGTTTTTTGGTCATGCTTCCTAAGGTCTACAAACCCACAGCACGTTTTAGTCGAACTGAATACCACTAGTTAGAAGTGGCACTTTCATAGCTGTTAAATGTAACATTTATTTATCTCAACTGTGAACAGCAGTCCTCTTGACCAGCAATTTCGATGTTTATTTATAAAGAACACAAAGCGGAAAAAACGTTTACTGTTTTACTGGTCTGTTTGAGGTGTGCATGTGCACAACTGCTCCAAAAAGCAGCAATTAATCGACTATAAAAGCCCATTTCATTTAAAATAGTTAAGATGATGGTTTTTAACGAGTTCCGGCAAGGCATTACAAGGTGTGCGGACTGTTAATCTTTAAAAATATCTGATAGCTCATAAGCACGTGCTTGTTCTGTCAGATTCAGTATCATTTGTTTTTTTTTTTAACGATCTGTTTATTTTGATTTCTACTGTTCATTTCTTTCACGTATCTGATGCCTTACAGCTACAATACATTAGGCTGCTTGTCCCTTAGAATTCATTGGTAATTCACAAAAAAAAACGTTAGAATCAATCTTATTATATCAAGTAATCTGAATTGCTGATCTTACAAAGCTCTTTGAATCGATGTAAACAAGCGTGAAAACTGCTATCTCAAATCTTGTTGAATAATGAACTTATATCTGTCAAGGGCAATATTTCCAAGTGCAGTTTATTTTTAAGGATATACGCATAAAGTTAAACAAATACCTAGAGTTTTTAGAGTGTCTAACCCTTTCGGCGTCTAGATGTGTTTACATTAAAAGAATCAAGAAAACTCAAAGCATTGTGTACCTTTGTTGTGTAAATAAATGCCCGCTTCCCATACAGACCTGTCAAAATGCCGCAGATGAACGTTAAACTGCACAAAATGCAAGCTCCGAATTGTGCGCACTACTCAAAACGATGCCTTTTAAAAAGGCCTTACAGTTACATCCGAGAGTAAAACGCACTGGAGTCTGTTTGCTTCAAATCCTTTAAAGATAGAGCTCGTCTTTCTGGCTGCAGGAACTCTAAAATTAAACAGCACCGTCTGCAAGTGAACACTATAGGAGCTGCTTGAAAATGTGTGAAATCATAAGGTTTCTTCACTGACCACAGCGAGAGCTGCTTCAGCACAAAGACACTAGCTAAGCACATCCCCCCCACAAAAAAAAAAAAAAAACTGTCACTTTCACGGGACATTTCCTCACTTTTTAGGCAGTTTCAGAGCGGAGTCACAAAGTAAAACTGATGCATTTACCTGTCAGCAGCGGGGTGAGTGGCTGTCGGTGTTAGAAATCACTGTTGTTAACCCCGACGTTAAGTGTCTCCCGAGCAGCTCGCTCTCGCTGCCTTTCTATCTCTGTCTTTCGTTACTAGAACGTATACACAGACAGAACGCAGCCGACAGAAACTGAAGCAGCCGGACCGCCTCCGCGCGCGTTCCCGAGCACTGTTTATGGGGGGGCGCTGCGCGTTCTGGCGCAGCTGGTGCCGGGGGAGGGGAGAGAATGGAGCAGGAAATGTCAATGCGAAATGGGATAAAGTTGTGCGGGGAGGCGCGCTCATGTGGCCTGACTTCTGCGCTGGGGAAGGGAGGTGTGAAGCGGCGTTAAATTCTTTGAGACCGATAGAGATTTTGTTCGCGAAGACTTCTCGAGGTCAGGATCACAGGCGACCTCTGAGAGGAGAGGCAGACAGATAGTAACACTTTTTTTTTCTTCTTAAGAAGGCCAAGAAATAGAGAGGTTCTTCTTTCTCGATTATTATTATTATTATTATTATTATTATTATTATTCCGTGTTTCCCATGCTGGATCGCAGAATCACTTCAAAAAGATGTGCATTTGCCAAAAAACACAAAAGATGAACCCCCTGGTGTAGCAACGGTGATAGCTGTATATCTCTGGCGTATTTCTTCCTTTGAAATGAAAAAAAGACGTAAAAGAAAACAAACCAGACCATGTTTTACAAACTAGAAAGTTTCATTTGGAATTTTTATGTTTTATAATTTATTTACCTCGTTTGCTCTAAATGGATTTACACACATTCTGAGTTTTTTTTTCTAATTAAAAGATAAAATGGAAACAAGAAATTTACCCGTCATGTGTTTTAATTAAAAAGCCTTTCAAATTGCAATTGTACTGGTGCCTAAATCACGTTAGTTACAGCAGTTAACGATTTATCAGCTTACTTTATTTAGCTCACTTGAAGATGGGGTTTTCCATAGCAATGACTAAATCTGATTAATTTCAGATCTGTCACAACAGAAACATTGTGGTTTTACACAGTATAAGTTCCCTTAATACAAATTCAAATGTAGCAATACACACTGTTAGCAGAATTCTGATCAATTTAAATTCACATTACTCATGTAAACAACTCCCCTTGTGAGTGGCAACCTTACCGTCAGACAAAAGAAAAAACAAGGAATTCATTTATTTAAATGTTGTTGTTTCCACAAATCTGTAAAAACATCTAGTTTTGATATATTAATGTAGCCTAAAAGATCGAAAAATTAAATATAAAATATAATTTTAATTGCCATGCTACTGTATAAATATATACATATTTGGTAGTATTACTGTACATATCTAGTAAGGCAAAATTAAATGTCCTTAAGTGGTGAGTCTTGAGCGCAAGTGCAAAATTGCCTGAGTTCTAAATTACTCTTTTGCACAAATAATTGCAGCATAGAATATTTTTCAGTATTTCCTTCAGGTTGTATGCAGTTGATTTAAAAATGAGACCACATTATTATAAGTGCTTCATTTATAAATGTATCCCTTACCAGATAGAGGCTTGGAAAGTTTGTTAAAATTGTCTGATTTATCAACTACTGTACGTAGCTCAGGTGGAACATCTAGCTGAAAATCTCCTTGCTTTCACAGACTGAAGTTTGTGACCCCTGCTTTTGAAAGCAGATAGCCATGTGCTTTGTTCTTCAGTTCTTGACTCAGAGCAGTTCAATAGCTATAGCTTCTTTATTTTAGCTGCTGCCTTGCAGGCTATAGGTTGGCTGGCAGCCTGTAAACCAAACATCACACATTGAGAGATGAGTGTGAAGAAAGCATAGCTGATGTGGTAATATCGTTAGTGACTCACTTTGTGTTATTGTGTACAGCCATTTACAAAATGAATGAAACCATTTCAGTTTTAAAGACTGCCAAGTGCTTTCCTAGTGATATAAATTCATTGTTTCTGAGAGGGTACTGCTGTGTTATTCTAAGCTGATGGAAGTGGTTTTGTAAAAGTTAAGTTGTCAGTTTTGCGAAGGGAGTGCTTGGTAGCTGGTGTTGAAAGCTGTTATATCCGTCTGACATTTAATGCTCCAAGCTTATGTCAAAGAGATTTGTAAACCAAATAAGAAATTCCAATATTTAAACTGTGAGGCCATTTTAAAATTACTTGCTTGAATTGTTTTCCAAAGAATCCCTCAAAATCAGAGTAAAGAAATACCAAGCACATACAGCTAGTCAGATTATGATGGGCTATCATATGAGTTTGTGGGGTTTCACATACTGTATAAAAAGGAAGTATTGCACCAGTCATGCTGGTAACTCTTTTTGAATAAGAAATGGAATAAAAAAAACTATTGATTGATGTAACGTATCCAAAGAGTTTGCAAAAGTGGCATATTGTTGTTCGTTATAAATTGAAGTTTAACTGCACTTCATCTTTTGAAGACAAGCGATACTTTTTAATGTCTATTTACATATTTATAAAGCATTTTATAAATACTTTGATAGGAAACATCAGTGACAGTTCGGCTGTGCACACTGATTGTGTTTTAATAATTATCTTTTTATAATTGCTTCAAATTCCTCTGCTTGACTCGTCCCTCTCTCTTTAAAATGTATTTTTTTACATGAACTATGCTTAATGTACCTGCTAAAATAATGATATTCATGCCTTTCACTCTTCTTTTTGAAAATACTGTTTTCTTTTTTTTGTTAATAGATATAGTCTGGAAAACTAACTTCCTGAACTAGTCCACTGTCTATTCTGGTTGTACACTGGCTAATAAATAAGTATCAACAACTGTAAGTTTCCTATTTACTGAAAGAAAATGTAGGATAAATCAATATGAAGTTCATCTTGACTAATGCTGTGGTGGAAGTATGTGCTTCTTTTAAAAGATTATTTCATCTTTAAATGTGTTTCAAATCTAAAATATTTCAATATCTTAAACCAGCTGTTGCCAATGAGTTTTTCTTCAGTATACAAGTTGCAGAACAATACGTGTGGCTGTTGTTATAAACAGAGCGAACGGTAACCCACTGATACTGACATTATTCTGAAGCAAATGCCATGTGCATTTTATGCAGTGGGAAAAACGCTGTGAAAAATTACAGCCAAACTTTCTGTTTCTGCCAAGACATTGAACTGAGAATTGAAAATGGTTGCTGTCATAAAATATCCACACTGATCCACTGGAATATCAATACGTTTCTGAAGACTTTACTGCACAGTACAAACTAGTGCCACTCTGCAGATCCTGGCAGTGGCCTACATAGGAATACAGGCAAGTGTTAAAAACTAAATCTGTGCATAACTAATTGGTTTAGTCAAAATTCCAAGACAGTTTTTTGTATGGCAGCAAAATACCTTACAAGTGACAAGCAACAGTAATAGATTTTCTTCAGAGTTAGTTCTACATTTTTTATAAGATTATTGTAACATATTGAATGCTTTACTTATATTTCCATTTAATCCCAGTGACACTGATAAAAAGGATCTAAAGAATACATTTTTTCTGATTTCCTATTTTTTCCCAATTACAGTCTTCACACACAATTTAAACAGGGAAAACTGAATAACATGCATTTTCTGGGTTTTGTTCTGTTCACTGCATGTTTTAAAAATGAAAAAAATCAATTTCAGCAGCGTGTTCTGTTATGTGGGATAGCTTTGTAGAATATAACTGAATTGCACAGATAAGTTTATAAATGGAGTTCACTACTGTGAGCCCACTGTAGAATTAGAATGAATTCTAATCTAAATCGGCCTTGACTCAGATTACCTAGACTGTTCGCTAAAAAACCCCTTATAGCAATCAGATCAGCATAACAATCATCCAAGTCAGTCAAGGCTAGAAACTAACCCACAACATAGAAGCTTGAATGGCGGTGATTTTAGCTTGTGCATTTGTATATTGCTTTGGCTTATTTGTGTTTTTTCACACTTTGGAGTTAAAGCCGCATTTATGTATGTCTTTTTGTAATATAGATGATATAATGTTCTACAATAGCACATCTCCTAGCATTCTGCCTGGTCATCTCTGTAGTACCGTTTCAGTAGTTTGCACCACTGTGACTAATGGTAAAGGGATTTGATGCATATCCTAATGTGCTGTATATATTGTCCCCTGTTTTCAGCTCCAAGACATGAAAAGCTGGCAGCTTAAACACCTCACATACAGTATATGCAGCTGGAACATGATTTAAACAACATGTTGCTCTGTAGTCGGTTTACTTAATCATATAATACTCAAGTCCCCAGTTAACGTTTTTATTTTTCTCTTTCTCTGGGACTATAAATTGTTTTTAGTGCTTGAAGCATCTCTGCCAAGACAAAGGGGTTATCCAAACCACTTTACTTTCAATGATATGTCGTACAGCTGACAGTATAGTAATATGTACTGTACAATACCTTGTATAGTGGAGCATCAGTTAAGGTGATGCCTATGCTATGTCTGGCAGGAAGGAAATTTGCTTTTAGCTGGGATTAGTAAAAACAAGGATCAGTAATAATAATAATAATAATAATAATAATAATAATAATAATAATAAAAATAATAATTGCTTACACTTATATAGCGCTTTTCTGGACACTCCAATCAAAGCGCTTTACAG